CAAAATAGGATGATACATCAAAAAATAATCTTTATCTTTTAATAAAAACAAAAAAGAAACAAATCACACGTTACAATGGGCATTTTTTTTGTGTAGCTTGTTGAGCACTAGCATTTTTGTTATATATTTTATTTAACGTAACGATAAAGATAAATTTGTAAACTTGAGTCTCCAGCCGATATTTGGTACGAACTGGGCCTCGCTACTCAATTAATTAAATAAAAATAAAAAAGAAATCTATAAATTTTTGCTTTTTTGACGTTCTAAATAAATAAATATATATATGAGATATAATTATAAAAAACAAATTTTGAAATAATTTATGAGCATACCTAACCGAGCCACGTCAGCACGCAACCTATCTGTTCTAATTTGATAGGATGCTATCAAGGAATTTATGCTTTCCTGTAGCGTTTCCACCTCAGCTCGTGCCTCACGCAGCCGACGTTGTTGTGGGGACTCATCAAATTCATATGGGGGTGGCCGAATCACCTCGTCAAATGATGGAGGCATTGGTGGTGTTTGATGTTGTTGCTGTTGTTGTTGTTGTGATTGTTGTTGTTGCTGTTGTTGTTGTTGTGATTGTTGTTGTTGCTGTTGGCGGCGTCGAGTTTCCGCCATGGATCTTCTCGCGTAAAACTTTTTACGGGAAGCTGATACTTTTTTATTACCCATATTTGTGTAAAGGTTAATTTGAGATAAGTGTGGAAATGTGAGTTAAAAAATAAATTTTTTTGATTAAATCTTTCCAGAGTAAATTTGTGGTTTATATATTCTTGATCGCACAAAAAAAAAAAAAATTAATATATAATAAATCAATTAGTCCGGAGCAGCATAGCGAAAGACTATTATATTAAATCCGCATGTCCACCTGCTCAAAAGTTGAGTCTATACGTGACTAGTTACTGTCGTTACACGGTCCCCGTTCCCTAGTAATATAATATCACGAATGGATACTACTAATTATGACGTTCAAAAATATAATATATATAAAAAAAAACTTGTTTAAACTTGGATCAGGGGAAAATAGTTTCTTCAACTTTTGATCAAAAGTCCGATCAGAACGACGCCTCATTAAATTTAGAACATTTTTGTATTACATAATGCTCAGAAAGTATAAAGTAAAAATTTGTAGTACTTTATGTTTAATAAAAAAAAAATATTTTTTTTTTTTAATATTTTATTAATAATCATAATTTATGAGTGGTTAGCGTGAATATGCCTACTTGACATGATGACAACGGGGACAAATTGTCCTCCGGACGAAATGACCAGTCAATTTGTTCCCCGAATAAATTAAGACGGATTTTTTCTTTAGATTAGAATATAGAATAATTTATTTTGGTTTGTCGCTGCAATTTCGTAACGATATTTGTTGACCTAATTTAAAAGGCTTCTTCTGCTCACCATACTTTCGTTTATTTATATTGGATAAAAAAATGGATCTGCTGGTTTTTTTTTTTTTTTTTTTTACAATATATTTATAATAAAATAAAAAATTGTTGTTTAATAGCAGATATTATTCTATTCTTTGTAGCATTATGGAGTTAGCTTCAGGTTTGCGCCAAATTTGTTAGCTTTGAATATAATAAGAGGAATTTTTGGAATTGCTATGGGAGGTGAATGGGGATTAGGTACAGCATCAGCGATGGAAATCTTACTCCCCGAAAGTCGTGGATTATTTTCGGGTATTTTGCAACAAGGCTATGCTACACTTTCTTTTGGCTTCACTTTTGAATTATTCTGTAATAGACAGGGTAGGATGGAAGGCAATGTTTGGATAGATTCATTTCCTGCCATATTGGTCATATTTATTCGTTTCTTGGTAAACGAGTCACCCGTTTTGGAAGCTCATCATAAAGTTAAAAAATTAAACGATAAATCCTTTCTGCTTAGTTCTAAATTAGCATTAAAGCTTCATTGAAAAACGTTCATCTATTGCGTTCTTTAAATGGGTTGTTTTGGCTTGATGAGTCATGGTAGGTACAATTAATTCGCACCGTCAAATTATTTTAAAAAAAATATTAAAATCTATTTTTTTTTAAAAAAAGGTACACAAGCTTTGTATCCGACATTCCTTATAGTACAACTTGGATATACCTCACACTGTAGTAGCTAATATAAGCGCTATATTTGGAGGCGCAATTTGTGGTTACATGTCCCAAATATACAGTCATAAGAACACCATCGTCATTTCGGCAATTTCGGCGGCTTGTTTTATGCCATTATTTATATTGCCAAGACATTTTGGATGGTTGATTGTCGGTGCTTTTGTAGTATACTATTTCGTTCAGGTATAAATGAAATTTGTTTTTATTTTTATTTTTTCAAAAATATTAGGAGGCATGTGCATGCAGTACTCCAGCGCATTTAAATGAACTTTCGCCACCAGAATTTCGTGGTATTAGCTTTTCAATTGGGTATTTAAATATCAGCATCATCGGTGCAAAATTAGGGGAGAAATTTTTAAAAAAATGGAACGCCTAATTACGGATTAATTATCATCGTACTATCGATAATCGTTATGACGTTGGTAAAGAAAATAAAAATTGAGCAAGTTGAACAGAATATAATAATTAATAATGAGAAAGTTAAAGTCATGGGACAGAATGAAAAAGAAATGGTTGTAATAAGTGATGCATAAAGTGTATAAATATTAAATTATTTATTCGCGAAATTTGTATATTTGTTATACCCTTTAAAAGATTCAATATTTAGATGTGCAGGGGAGAGAGAGATTTTAAAGGTTAGGTTTGAAATATTAATAGGAAAAATTGACTAAACTAATTCTTCTAATTAAATTATCTTAGTTACCTTGAAAATCAAATGTTGTTCTAAATAATGTGATCGTAAATTTTTGATAAACTTTTCTTTTTTTTTAGTTGAATTATTTCAGATAATTTAACCTCCTAATTTACAGCCGTCAAATGTACTAAAAAATTTTTTTTTCTCCAAAATAAAAATTCTTATTTACACTCACGCACGCCATATCGAATTAAAAACTTGTATGACGCCTTTTCACATTTAAATGTTGATTGTTATTTTTAAAAGGTTTCGATAAAAACAATTTACAGAATTAATTTCGTCATGGAACGATTTGCGTTTGACGCACGTAATCTTTTCCATTTTTCTTTCTTTCTTTGTTCATTTTTGATTGTGATAAACCGTTTATCTGTATTTAAGTAATTCCTTTTTTTGAATATGTTTAAATCATTTTTGTAAATATCTTTAAAAAAAAAAAAGAAAAATTGTATGCAGTGTAACATGATTTTTTGTCTAACTTATTGAGGTATTGAATTTCCACATGAAAAAAAGAATATAGTGATTTTTCAAATTAGTATCGTTTTTTATTTAAATTATGGTATTTTGTAATTCTTCTTTTCTTATATTTTTTAAAATTAAAATAATTTTTTAATTTATTGCTCAAGTGTATTAACGTTTATCAATTATGGAAGAGGTAAATAAATCGTCTTCACAAAATGCTTTAACCTACACCGCAGTAACGGATCCGGAATCAAATTCAAGAAATAATAATAACAATGGAAGAAAGCAAGCGCAAAATCCATGGAAGTTAATAATCTCTCTTAATAGACAACAAAAAATTACTTTTGTTGCAGCATTTTTAGGATGGACATTGGACGCCTTTGATTATTTCATTGTGATATTCTCCGTACCGTTTATTGCAAAAGAATTTAACATGGAACCTTCTGATATTACTGCAAGGTATTAATCTAAATTTAACCTCATTTTAGTCGGAAATTATCAGTTTAAATGATCTCTTGTTGTTTTACAACATTTTATGTAGTATTACGATTACATTATGCTTCCGTCCAGTTGGAGCGGCATTATTTGGTCTTTTAGCAGACCGTTATGGAAGGAGATATCCATTGATGGCAGATATTTTTCTTTATAGTTGCATGGAGTTAGCGTCTGGTTTTGCGCCAAATTTTACGGTTTTTATTATTTTAAGAGGAATTTTTGGAATTGCTATGGGAGGTGAATGGGGATTAGGCGCAGCACTAGCGATGGAAATTTTACCGCCCGAAAGTCGTGGATTATTTTCCGGGATTTTGCAACAAGGTTATGCTACAGGTTTCCTTTTAGCATCACTTTTACATTTTGCAGTAGTTGATAATATCGGTTGGAGGGCCATGTTTTGGATAGGCTCATTTCCTGCCATATTAGTTATAATAATTCGTTTGTTTGTACCCGAATCTCCTACCTGGAAAGCGCAACATGATGTTAAAGAATCAACCGGTAAAGCTTGGTTGCAAAATACGAAATTAGTATTAAAACTTCATTGGAGAAGATTCATCTATTGTGTTCTTTTGATGGCTTGTTTTAACTTTTTGAGTCATGGTATATATATTTAACCCGCGTTAAAACAAAAAAATAAAATTAAAGAAATTAATAATTACATATTTAAACTTTTTCGAAATTTAGGTACACAGGACTTATATCCTACTTTCTTGAAAGTACAACTTGGATATCAGACGGCCCAAGTTACAATTCTTACAGTAATAGCAAACATAGGAGCCATAACCGGTGGTTCGATTTGTGGATATTTGTCACAATTGTATGGTCGTAGGGTTACTATTATCATTGCGGTAACTTTGGCAGCATGTTTCGTACCACTGTACTTGTTACCGAAAAGTTTTGCATCCTTGAGTGTTGGAGCTTTTGCCTTATATTTTTTCGTTCAGGTATTCCGTTAAATATTTTCTAATTAAGTTTTAACAAATTTATATATATGCTTATAGATATTATTTCAATACATTTAGGGAGCGTGGGGAGTGATTCCAGCGCACTTGAATGAACTTTCTCCACCAAAATTTCGTGGTACATTTCCAGGGTTAACTTATCAATTGGGTAATTTAATATCGGCATCATCGGCGCAAATTGAAGCAAAATTAGGGGAGAAATTTAAAAAAGATGGGAAATCTAATTATGGTTTAACTATTGCTATCTTATCCCTTATCGTCATGACTTTATTGGTTATATTAACTTTATTTAGTAAAGAATATAAAAATGTTAATTTTATTGAACAAGCCGAAAAAGGTGATGCGCAAATCAATGATGTAGAAAAACTGAATGAGGATAAAAAAGGAGAGGTCCTTATTACCAAAAATGAATAAGATTTCATTAAAAATTCGTTTGGACCGGATATAACATTTTATATCTGGATATCCATGTATATAACTAAATAAAACATTTTAATTTTTTTATTTTGTATTATATTTTTTTCTTCGGTTAAAGATGAAGTTCCTGCTTTATATTTATTTTTATTTTTTTTTAGAGAGGATAGCACCTTTTTTTTTGTGATAGAGCTTAATTTTTTGGTCCGATCATCCACGGATCCGTTGAATTATTGACTACATACTTTTAAAGGACGAATATCTTATTCCTTTTTAAAAACATAAACCATTTGTAAAAAAAAAATATCACCATAATTTTATGATGATGCTACTTGCCACTTGGATGAATCAATTTAATTATTGGGTTATCCCATCGATACTACTGTATTTATGCATCAGTGGATCTTTGATTGTGCCTAAATCAATCGTTGCGACTTTGACGACAGATATGACATATCTGACATTTCGGGCTTTTCTGACAGTTTAGACCTAACTGACAAATAGGGTCGATATGTTTCGGCATTGGATTTGATTAATTTGCCTAACCGTCAATCAGCACGTGATCGAGGTAACACTATCATTAAAGTCTACGATTTTACTAATCACTAAATTATAACGGATGTAAACACTGAAAAAACCAGTATACAAAATATACGTTCTACTATTTGATGAATTTTGTCAGTACAACTTGTTACTAAGCATGTATTATATTACTACGCATTATAGTATAAATAACAAATAATATCCTATCTTTTTATTATTTTATTAATTAAAAGTACAATTTTATAATATTTTTTGATTACAATTACTTTCTGCTCATATTTTCATTTTATTCTAATTTTATTGGATTTTTCAGCTTCTATCCATCTTTGCAAAATGTTGGTTTTGGAGTTGTCATATTATTAAGACCTATATTTGCCTTCAAATATTAATTTAAATTAAACTGTTAATCTTCAATTTGCAAATAAATATAAGCTTCAAATTATCAACTGTTATATGCCTCCAGCAGACAACTTCACTAGAAAAATTATTCAAAGTGAATTAATCAAAATTATTAGAGACATTAATACAAATGATTTTCATCTAGCACTTTTGGGTAATCTTAATGCTAATATAGACAGGAAACATAATCTAGCAGGTTTTTTAGATTTCTTTACAACTATCCAAAATCACAAACTCTTTGATTTATTTAATTTAACATAAATAATAATTGAGTGAATCATTCAATGTTCATATCAATGTTCTCAAACATTTAGCATCAATTTTATTTCTTTAGAGCTCGCTTGTAATCATTCTAGTTGTAATTCAGAAGCAGTATACAGCAAATATTAGATTACTCAATAGTTATTTATTCTATTAAAAACTTTTTGAATATTAAAAATAACAATGAAACTTTTCAAAAAAATCATTTACAATTATAATAAAATGAATGATGACCTTTAGAATGCTTTTAAAAAAAGTTAAATTCTTTGGTCAATCTTATGGAATTTAAATACAGTGTAATATTCTGTAGATTTATAATTTTTATAATTTTTTAGAATACTATATTGTAAAATTACACAAGTTTACAATTTCATAAGATTTATGAAACATTACAATAAAATCCTACGTGGGGTTACAAATCATATGATTTATATAATATGATAGTCAAAATCCTTCGTAGGATTACAGTATCGTAAGATTTATAAAATATTATAGTGAAATCCTATATAGGGTTACGAACTCATAAAATTATGTGATATATTACTGTAAAATTCTATATAAAGTCATGAGATTGTATGAAACATATATAGAGTTATGATTTTTCATCATAGATTTAAAATTAGTAATATATATTGTATACTATTTAATATGAGCAATAAATACATACTTTTTATCTTTCACTAATTCATATATATTTTTAGCTTTTAAGAGATGATAATTTAAATATTAATTGTATATGTTTTAATGAAATAGCATTAAATTTTAAGTGGTAAAATTATAATGAAAAATCATATGCACATGTTATATTTAATATATTTAATTTAGCATAAGTTTTAATTAAATTCTCATGTTAAAAATATATAATTCAGAATCATATATACATATTATAATAAAATAGCATTAAATATAATCAAATTCGTATATTAAAAATATATAAGTCAGAATAGAACAAAGATTTGCAGAAATCTGCAAATGTATCAGATTTATGAAAATTAACAAAAAATTGCAAATTTTTAAAAAAACTGTGTTCTATATATTTAACAATCATATTAAACTGATTAAGGTTATTAATTTTTTAATTCTTTTTTTGTTTAAAATGTTAAGAAAAGTGATTCATATCCTAGTCATTTAAGAGTAGATTAAAGGAGTTTTCACTATATAATAATAGTTTAAATAACAATCATCAAAATCTTTCTGAAAAGATTAAATATATATAAATATGTATTTTAATTTTAAAAAATTTTATAATAAAAAAATAAGGCAGATTTTAAAAAATGAAGTAAAAATTATACTGAAATGATAATTTTCTAAGCTGCTAAAATAATGTAGTTTTAGGATATACACCGTTGATTTTATAAAATTTTATTGTAGAAGATCATCATATGCATATATATTATAATAAAATAACATTAAATAGCATTAAATATAATTAAATTTTAATTCACTAAATCACATACATATTTTAAACACATTAATTAAAATAATACTATAATTTACAAGAAAAATTTTTAAAAAATACTTTTTTTATTCTTTTTTTTTACTTTTTGTATTATTTTTTTTAATATGAAACTTGCATTTTCTTCTTTTTCATATTATTTTTTCTTTTCTTTAATATGTATGCTTTACAGAAAATATTTTATTTGTATTATTTAATATGAAAAAACTCATCTTAAAATTTTATGTAAATATAACTTTAGTTTAACCATCTCAAAAATGAAAAAAAAACAAAATAAAGTACTTCCATATATAACAAAATTAATTTTCTTTAAATTTTAAAATGTTTATTAACAAATATTCCTAAACAAAACAATTTAACACTAAACAAATAAATTTTTTGATAATTTTATGATAAATATATCATATTACTAGAATTTATCAAAATGATATAAACTATACAAACAAATATGAATACAATTGATTATTTAATTTAATAGCATTATTCTACTTTAAGAACTATATTGACTATACCAAAAAATATAAAATAAAATTTAAATTTTATATTATTAATTGAAAAGCAAGATCCAGTTTGTATCAAATATTAGCTAAATACTTAAGGTTATAAAAAAATATATTATTTTTATTTTATATTTTTATATATACTATATATATATATATTTATATTTAATTGCATTAGTCAAATGATAAAAAATAGAAGACCAATCAGGTCAAATCTGGGCTATCATATTTGACTTAATTGGTTTTCTATTTTTTTATTTTTTAGTATAAGATGATTCTGATTGATAACGAATATTGGCATAAATATAATACACTAAAGTTTCAATTAGGATATTATAGAGATATCAATAGAGTTATTCTTATTGATATCAATTTATTAACATCTAGCTTCCAATCAGATTAACTTTAAGTCATCAATAAGAATAAGTAATTCTGATAATTATAATAAAAAGAATTTTTATTATTAATATGATTTATATTAATATAATTAAAGATAATGCTGCAATTGTCTTTTTAAATTTGCAATATGGCAGATTTTTAAATTGGATTACATATAATAATCCATAATTCTGCAATTCCAATTATGTGATTTATGATATAATTTGTATAAATACAAAATTGCAAATTACTCAAAATCTAATGATTAGATATCAATGTATTTTGTATCATTCGATTTATCTCTATAAGAGGATTTGAATGTTATAAAGTTTATCTTCTAACACACATATTGATGGAGAAATAACTACACAAACATTCAACAATATTTGAAAATAAAACATAATCCTATGATTGGATTTTGATAAAATTTATATCAATCAATTTGTCTCAGTTAAAGGATTTGAATAGTAGTAAAATCAGCATTCTTGAATCGATATTAGCAGTGTTGTGAACGAATAAAATATGATAGGACCTACGTGGCACAGATGATTAACAAATCTGACAAATCTAACAAATCTGATATATCTGACATATATGATATATATGACATGATTGACAAATAATATATATTAGACAAATTCAACATATATGATATATTAAACATATTTGACATATACAATATATTAGACATATTAGTTATATCTTTCTATATACTGTATTTTATATAAATAGATAGCTTTTTAGAGCATATAAAAAGTAGGATTTGACAAGTTAGTTCTACAGTAATTTTAAGAGGCAAACAGGCCTATCATATTATATTTTAGTTTCATACTTCATTTCTTTATTTTCTTTTCTTTTCTCTTATCATATCTTTATTTTCTTTATTTCTAATTCTTATCTTATCAATAAACATCTTACTTGAAAATATAATTACTCAATACCTTTTGAATTGTTAATTGTAAAACCTTCATATAAACTTTTCTACTTGAATTTAGCCATAAAAGTATACCTGTAAAGCATTGAGATTACTGTGCAATTAAAAAGAAATAATACTCTGATATCCTGTCTAACAGTTGTAGTTCAAAAGAATTACACGTTAATATTTGAAGATAATGACAGGACTTTATTTTCCTAATTAACGCAATAATAACCTATGAGCACACTATATGAATTCATTTGGAAGTATATTTAAACACCAGAGATTATATTACCAATAACATCTTAGGAAGGAACGCAAGATTGTGCATATAACTCTTTCACTAGACTTTTTGTGTATTATTTTTAATCCAGCACTTTTACCATCGACTTTACCAATATCTTTTCGGTCTTTCTTTAAGTAGATTAAATTCATTTTAGATGCATAACAATATACTGGAAAAATTGTTAAAAACTTTCAGTTAGCTTAAACATCTACTACTCTTGCATAACAAAATCATTTCTATAAATGAACCTTTCAAGCGTTT